AGTTTTCTAGTTTGTATTGCTGACGAGATTTTATATATTATTGCATGCTCAAAGATAAAGCTATAATTCAATTGACAACTCAGGGAAGTCAGGCATTGCAATATGTTATTGTAAATAAATGATATCTTAGAGTATGCATAGAAACAAAAATGCATAGAAGCAATAGATCTCGATTTATTCATATGCAAATTTAAGTCTTTTACTATTAACTTATTTGTATTTGCTGTCCATATTACCACATTTCAAATGGTAGAGTTGGAAAAGCCATGGTTTACTTTGCAAAGATCATATTTTATACTTTTTCTGGCTGTTATGCTCTTGCTTGTTTCTGCCTGAAAGCCTGTTGGCATTGGTCTTGTTCTTGTATTATTTAGGTTCAGTTGCGCCATAAATCTGCTAGATTGCTTGGCTACTCAAACTACGCAGACTATGCTGTTAATCATAGAGTGGCAAACTCATCCTCAAAGGTTCGTACATGTTTATATCATTTCCTAATGTATTATCTTGTACTAAACAACATTTTTGATGATTTATTCTCTAATTAAATGTTTATTATGTAATTGTAATTTCATCTACGTGCTTTCACCCATGCTTTCTTTGATAATATAATTATTGGTAAAGATTATTTTTCAGATCAACTGATTAGATAATCATACTCATTGGTATTATTGTACTTTCTTGGGTAACTGAAGACTTTTGTGTTGTTTAGTGAAGCAATTCATTTATTTGTTGAACTGAGAATGGCCTACAGATTGGTTATGTACTCATTTCTTCAGTTTACAGTGGTACATAAATTGCTGAAAAATGATCAAGGAAAATATCTTATTGCTATTAACTTCCCGACCAAATTACTGATTTCTCATTTTGAATCATCATTCCATTACTGTTTGTTTGTAATATTTTCCTACCAATCCTTTCATAAAGCTGATTTTTCCTGATGAGCATGATGCTGTTGTTTTCAGGTATTTGAGTTCTTGGAGGAACTCTCTGCCAGTTTAACTGACTTGGCCACCAGAGAACTTAGTATGTTAAAAGACTTGAAGGTTAGTTTTTGCTTAGTCTATATCTTGTTATGCCAAAGTGTGTTTTATATCTTTATAGTCTGCGTTTTTCTGGTACATCAGAAAAAAGAGGAAGGAGATTTTCCTTTTGGAATTGAGGATCTGTTGTACTATGTGAAGAGAATTGAGGAACAACAATTTAATCTGGACCTTGGAGCTCTTAAACAATACTTTCCGTTCAATTTGGTCATGTCAGGGATCTTGAAAATATGCCAAGACCTTTTTGGTAATTACATGATGTTTCCATTGCTTGACTTAAGTATTTTGCTTGGCTAATTCATCTACTAAGCTCTCATCTTCCTTTGCTTCATGCAAGTTTAAGATTTGAAGAAATTGCAGATGCTGAGGTTTGGCACTCTGATGTTCACCTTTATTCAGTCTATGACTTATCTTCTAGTGAACTTTTGGGCTATTTCTGCCTTGATATGTTCTCCAGGTTCATTTATTACTCATGGTTTTATTAATTCTAGTGGACATCAATTTATGGGTGGTTCACATATATGATTTAGAATAAAATGAACTTGCGTTGTATCTTCAAACAGGGAGGGAAAATATGGTCACACCTGTGTTGTGGCTCTTCAGAATGGTTCTTTTGTCAATGGTGCACGAAAGGTGATTGTAATACGCGATTTAGTTTGAGTTTTCTAAACTTATTGTTGTTGTGATGTTGAACTCAAATTTTGGGTACCTGCAAAGCATTTTATTTTGGGATACATTCTATTTTGTTTAGTAAGGACAGGATCAAATGCATAAAGCATGTTTGATTAGCATGGTAGAATTACATTTTTTTTAGTTTTCAATAGAAAAAAGGCAAAAATTTCTATTGCTGGATGTATATCTGCTTTGTGTTGGATTCCCTTACCACCATGAGAGTTTGTTTTGTACGTGAAAATTCTTCTCAAGGTTCAGTCAGGTGCCATTATGTCTCTAGTAATATAGGTGTTGGTTTTTTCGATATAAATGTTATACATGGTTGGGCAGTAGAAGACATAGTCCACAATTTCTCATATATGTTAAAAGTATCGTAAGCTGATCATAATTTTAATGTCTTACTGATTTATCGTCAATTTCTATATGTAGATTCCTATGGCATTACTTGCTTCTCAACGTCAAAAGGAAGTTGGTCGTATTAGTGGGCCACTTCTAAGAGCCTTGTTTGGAACTTATTGTGCATCATTCTATCATCCATTTCTTGACCAAACCGTGGGAGAGAGCTAGAGATAGGAGAAATTTTGGTTTCAACAAAATTCCTTGGAGAATTAGAAGAATTGAAGAGTAGTTTGCATATTTGAGCTTCTAGGCTTGGAATTCAAGACCTAAGGTAGGAGAATCATCTTCTCGATTGCGCATTTAAGTTATACCTTGCATGGTCCATGGTAAAATTGAAGATTAAAGTCAAGAATTGGTTGAAAATGTTGAATTGAGGCTTAAATCATGCATGCATGTTCATATCTTAGCATTTTGAAGTGTCTTCATGGAAGTTCTTGCATGCAAGCCCATATTCTAGCCTTAGTCCATGAATTCATCATGATTTTGAGCTCAATCTTACATTTGGTCATGTTTTAGAGCATTGGATTTAAAATGAACACTTGCATGTTAAGCTCTTGTTTTGTTCTTGAAGTTTTATTTGAAATTATGTTCAATTGACTCACCCTTAGGCTTGGATTTTACAAATTGATCTTTGAAACATCTTATACTATGAGTTTACAAGTGTTTTCCAGAAAATGGGCCCAAGAGGTCGAGTTTTGAGGTGTTGAATGCTTGATTTGAGCTTGGGAGGCAAATCTGGAAATTCCAAAATTTGGCTTCCTTGCTTGAGCGAAGGATTCCACACTGAGCGACCATCGTTTGTTCAGAGCTCCACTCGAGCGAAGGAATGGTGGCTCGAGCATAAATTGCAAGCTCTCAAGTTTTTGGTGCACGCAGACGCACGCTCGAGCGATGAGACCTACGCTCGAGCGAAGGGCTGTGTCTCACGCTTGAGCAAGCATCGAGCAGGCATCGAGCGTAAAATTTCAACAACTAGTACTTTTGCATTTTTATAGACCGCTCAAGCAAAGGAGTCTACGCTCGAGCAACCCTTCTGTTTTGACAAGCTCACTCGAGCGAAGAAAGTCACGCTCGAGCAAGACCCCCGTTTTCAACAAGTTTTGAAAAATATTTTCCAAGGCATCTTTGCATCCTCATTCCATCCTAGGCATTCCTAGGCCATGTTTAAGACTATTTAGTGAGGATTTAAGGTTAGAAACACACTAAGAACCATCGACGTAAGTTTTGTACAATTAAAATGTGTGTTTCAAGTGTGTGTCCGTTATGTGTTATGTAGGTTGCGTGTCACGTATCGTGTGATCAATCTGCTCCATCTGTCTGTTTCAAGGTCAACTATGAGTAATAATTTAGTAAAGTTATGTTCAAATGGTATCTACTTTCTGTGTGATAAAACAAGATCTGTTTTTCGAAATGATATGTTCTGTACAGTGAATGATTGTTCAATTTCTAATATGTATTCGTGACATCCTTAGCATCATGTGATATCTGCTAGTTGTTACCCGGTATCGGAGGTTCCTTTATGGAACTTATTTCTGTCTGCACTCTGTTACCCGTACCAGAGGCCCTGTCACGGGGGCTTAACTTTTGTTTTGTTCTGTTACCCGGATCCGGAGGTTCCTTTATGGAACCGATTATTCGTAACCTCACGTGTATACATTCTGTTCTGTTCTGTTCTATTAATGTTAATAAATGTATCACGTAAACTTAATCATGACTTATAATTTCTGTCTGTATATGATCTGGACAAATGATGAATTTGATACAAATCTGAATTATGATTTTCTGAATCTGTACGAACTCATTCATTGAAAACCCTTTACTTTATTATTATTCACTGGGCTTCGCTCATAGTTTATATTATGTATGTAGGTGAAACGGCATGTGACCAGGGCCAGAGTTGACGGCCTTCTGTTCTGTTTTTGTCAGCCAACAATTGTGCCTCCCGAGGAGGTTCCGAACGAAGCCTTATGCCACAGCTGTTTTTTTTTTTTTTGTATTCATGCTAGTCTTGTGTATGCTTTGTACAGTCAGGTCTTGGGATGTACATTATGTAAATATTGTGTATCTGGACTGGCATGTTTATGTATATATATAAATAAATTTTGAAAAGTTCTGTCCCATGTACGCTATCACAGCTCATTGGACCTTGTCTATTTTGTATTATTGCTTCCGTAGCCCCTTATTATTTGCTAATCTATTCAAAGGCCTTTGGTAATTCACAAATTACTGGCCGGTTACGGTGCTAAACATATAGGGGCGGGTTTGGGTTGTGACAACCCCTAATCCCGTTTCCCCACTACCATCGCCGTCACAACCACCATCATTATGAACCTACATCATCGTGACCTACCATCTTTGCGATTTATATCGTGTTACTAGAGAAATGAAGAGAAGGCTAGAAGCGGCAACAAGAGAGAGGGTTGCGGTAGGGAAGCAGTGATAGAAGGGAGCAACGATCAAAAAAAGGACTGTAGCAAAAGACTGTGGAGGAAGAGGCGGCAGCGCAAGGGGGATAGTAACTAGGAATAGGGCCATTGGAGGAAAAGATAGCAGGCGATGGCTAGGGTCATGGCTTCAACACTAGCAATAGACGAGGTGGTGACAATTTATGATTAAGGTTAGTAAAAAAATAATGAAGATCAGGATATTTTAGGAATTCGGTAGTATGAATTGAAAGAATTTTTTTTTTTTATGTTATGCAAATTAAAAAATTGTGTGAGATGAAAGAAATGTTGGTGTGTAAAAAGAGGATCCCTTTTTTGTTGATATTAAAGGACATTTTATTTCCAATTTTATCCTAAAAATTATTTGTGTCTTTTTTATCTGTTTATTTTTTTTACCATCTATTCAAATTTATATCTATCCGTTCAAAATATTTTCTATCTATTCAAATTTATATTTATCTGTTCAAATAATTTTTTAGATGTTAAAATTTTATATCTATCTGTTCAATTTTTTTGCCTATCTGTTCAATTTTTTTGCCTTATATGTTTAAATATTTGTCCAAATTTTCATATTTATTCAATTTTTTCATTTATCTGTTTAAATCTACCTATCTTAATTTTATTATTTCTTTATTTTTTTTCTAAAATCCTATCTTTCAAAATTCTATCTGTTAAAATTTTGATTATAACAATTCAAAATCTATCTGTGTAAAATGCCATCTATTTGAAATTCTTATCTGTTAAAATACCAAGCCAAAGCAAATCCTATATGTTGAAAATATAGAGCTCAACCAACCTTATCTGTTGCAATACCAAGCCAAACCAAAGCCTAACAACAACAACACATCAATAAGAAGAAGAACAACAACAACAGATCAACAAGAACAACAACAATAGATCAACAAAACCAACAACAACAATCAACAAAAAAAATTATCTGGATGGTAGTTAGGGTTTATATTATGGACACAGTACCTTTACCTCAATTTCTAGATTTAAGTCACTATCATCATCATCTCAGTTGAATCGACTGACAGATGGCTAGAAAAGCACGCAATTCTGCCTTTCACTACCCTACGAAGCCTCCGGATAATTCTTCCAAGGTTATGAAATCGTTAGTTGCAGAGAATTCGATGGTGTCATAGCCAAGGATCTCCCAATCATAAATCTTAGATCGAAGGAAGATGTGACAAATCTAAGAAGGATTCAGAACCAAACACGATGTGGCGGTGGCGATGGAGGCTTGAAGGGGACTTTAGATGAGGGTTTAACGTAAAAAATGATAGCTAGATTAAGCATGCTCAGTGGCAAAGGCAACCAGATATACATTGTCATCGACTCCTCCGATCATGATCCTATAAACCAAAGTCGCGCGACAGTGACACCGCCAACGAGTGGGGGAAAGAGGCGACAGAGTGGATGATAGCGAGGAGGCGACCAACAAATGACATATCGGTGGCGACGGAAGTAGTGGTTATTAGTCGGTGTGAAGAAATTAAAGAGAAGATGAGAGAGAGAGAGAGAGAGAAGATGAAAGGGTTTCGCCATGTAAAATATATGTATATATGCATGGGTATTCTAGTCATTTTGCACAAGCGTGTCCTTGTGGGCATAATATTTTATTGCCTGGACTTTTGAGCAAGCAAAACTCAAACTTGGATTTATGGATGGAGTGCTCTTATTTTTATAAATAAAATTCATTTGCGCGACCTTTTAAAAAAAAAATAAATGAAAGCTTCATGTACATTATTTTGTATATAATTACAAATAAATTTTTTAGTTGTATATTATTACTGACATTAATGTTAAAAAAAATTTAGTTTATTCAGTATAGTTGTAATAATTTTTAGCTTTCTTAATACCTTTTTAAAGTGATTAATTTTTTTTTTAAGAAAATGGATATGTCCAAACAATCAAAGTTTCCCCCCCTCTCTCTCTCTCTAAAAAAAGTAAAATGGACTTTTTAAGCCAATCTTTTTTTTTTTTTTTGGTAAAGGATTGTTAAAAAGCCTAAGATTAATTCTAATGATATTTACCTCATTCAATGACTAGTAATTAATTCTTTTTTTTCTTAATTTGGAGAGGTGTTTAGTGACATTTATGATACAATTCGTGTTCACACTTACACCAATTTTAAAAAGAAAATTTGGTCAAACTCTCCTCATAATAAAATTTTAATACATTAAGGACAAATACGAAAAAAAAAATTTAGAAAATCCAGCACACACTACTGTTACCAAAATATCCTTAGTGAGATCAAAGTTTTGTCTTTTTTTTTTTTTT